ATATATATTAGTACCCTGACTTAGCCCTGATGTGTTCTCATGGCATCACCATTCTGGGGTATTTACATGACCTTCTGTTGAGAGAACAGACAGGCTAATTTTCAGATAATTTTAAGTTAACCAACCAGATGTTAGGGATTTGGATGAATTCTGAATATTACAAATCCTTGTTAGAACTGACTCATAATATGAAGTATCTGGGTCTAATCCTGGCCAGCGTGTTCCTTCCGCAGTAGAAACTTCAGACACTTTGGGCTCAGATTCAAATTGTTCAGTCTATGAGACAGCTAATTCTTCACTCATAGGTCTCTTTTGGGGCAGTCCCATTTTCCTAGTTTCACTCCACACCCCTATAACACCCCCCTGTTGTTGTGGGACATGTTAATCCAGTCTCTGCATAGACAAATTCCTCTATCACCAAGAACCAGGTTGTCCCTGGCCTGGTGGCTCAGCAATCCACCTTTTTGTAATTTCTTCCTGTCTTTTGGAGGATTCTCACAGCAGACATCAGCCTGTCAGGCTGGAGAGGAGCCCCAGTCATTCACTCTGTGCAAGGGAAGAATCATCCTCTCTGAACGTAATAAAAAAATGCCACGGCATATATCAATCATCAGGAAGGAACCAGAAGTCTTGCTGCAGCAAAAGAGGTAGAGTGGATCATGTCTTGGGTGGAGACAGGATCTTCGGGTCTGGCCTTGTTCAGCATTTACCTTTTGAGATATGAACAACTGGCAGGCACATCTCCTTAGCTGACAGTCTGGACCCAGGATAGTAATTCCTACACGCAGAGGTGTTCCAAGACCTGTGCTGCAGATGGGGTACACCGGATGTTGACCTCTAGGCTCAACAACAAACTGTTTCTTTTTATAACAATTTCTTGTTATAGGCCATTACAGGCAACATCTGTTTCAGACATTTGGCTTCAAAAGGGCCAATCTCTTGTGCCAAGACCTTCAAAATACAAAACAAGTCAATGAAGTTTATTTATTAAAAGAGTAGATGCTAGTCACATAGCATGTTCTCTGAATAAGTAAGGTGACATTATGTCCAGTCAATCAAACAATCATGCCCCTAGCAAAAAACAAAATCACTTTGGTGTTCATTTACTAAGGCTGTTCACTGAGCAATGTTCCATTAAATGCAAATTAGCTCATTGAATGGTATTTTTGTAAAACAGTTGACCAATTATAATGAAAGGGTTTGTTTGCAAAATATGATTACTTGTGACAAACATGTACTGTTGATGTCTTTTCTCATTTTTAGGCTAAAATCCTCCGTGAAACCAAACCAATACCAAACTTGATCTTTGCGATTGAAAAGTATGAAGAGTTTTTAATCAAGCTGTCTAAGAAGTCAAAGGTAAGGAGCTTTTCTAATGTAACATACAGTGCTGGATGCAGAGGCAGCAATTTTACTGTTGTATGTATCATTTTTGTTTTCAGGTCAACCTGATGCAGTACATAAAACTGAGCACTTCCAGAGACTTCAGAATTAACCCAGCCACACTGGATGCAGCTCTGCAGGAAAAGGGCTCAGAGGATGAGGAGAATGAGCCAGACAACATGCAGGTAGGAAACAGATCAGCTGTTATGGGTCAGAAGCCTTTAAACATGCAATAGGATTTTTGTGCTCTGTGTAAAATCTTATCTTGGAGTCCATTGAGGGAAATGGGAAGTCTTAAAGTGACACTAAGCTCGGGAGTTAAATCTTAAAAATGAATTCAAGCACCTTAACTATGAACAAAACTCCTATCTTATTTGTGTATCACTCAGCTGTAGATCCTCAAATCATCTCTGAATTGGTGCTGACACTGTCCTTCCTTTTGGAGGGTGGCTACTTCTGTTCCCTCATGGTCCCTGTGTGTGTAGTAAAGTAGCCACCGATCCCGTGATGGACTACAATTTAATGTTTGTTTACTAATTTATATTGAAATTATAGTCTGTCACTGTAGTGAGCTTGGAGCAGTGACTACTTTACAACACACACAGGGACCATTGGGAACAAAAGTAGCCACCCTCCAGAAGGAAGTTAAGTTCAACATGAAAAAGAAGTCCTCAACTTGCGCAAAAAGATCTATTGTTTATGGACTATATATGGATAGTATCAAATGAACTCCAGTTATACTGGTAATTACTCCAGAGAAGATGTATGCACCGATCCTGCAGCCTGGTTGGTTGGATAGGGAAACATCCATATAACAGCACTGTAAAGAAAACATAGAAAACCGGCGCACCGATCTAAGTGCAGTATAAAGTGACTATTTAATAAGGGTAAAAGTAATGCACTTACAGGATATTAAAAAACATCTCGCCTGTCACGCATCAGATGAAAGTCCCATCTCAGCTGCTGGTCCGAGATTGCTATCAGGATAGGGAGAAAGCAGAGTCCAGTCCAGTTCAGAAAGATCCCAGGACGCCTGTGCTGGAAGACACAGGTCTGATCCAGTGGCTGAGCACTGCTGTGGCTGGTTCTCCTCAAAGCAGGGTCACAGCTGCTGAGTACTTCCGGGTCGTCAGGTGTTGCTAGGCAAGCGCGTACCCTCCAGAAGGAAGGACAGTGTCAGCACCAATTCAGAGATGATTTAAGGCTCTAACAGATGAACTACATTTCTGTTAATAGTTCAGATACTTGAATGGATTTAACTCCTGAGTTTAGTGTCGCTTTAAGAGATTTGTAAACCAGTTGGACATAGTTTGATACAGTAACGTCAAAGCCAGACCAACAGCTTGACGAATGGGTCCTTAGAGACAAGTGCCTCCTCCTATCAGAATAAGGCAGGACACTGCCAGATCCACAGCGGGAATAGTCCACTGCTGTACAAAATACTCACTAAATGGATATAATGCTAACGAGTATTTAGGAGGAGCAAACAGCTTGTTAGGATGTTTCCAATCTCCATTGTAAGTCACTAGCCAAAAAACTAGAGATGCACTGATACCAGATTTTTTATTTTTTTTGCTTTTGCACCAGCCCACTACCTGGCAGCTGTCATACTCGGTGCAACCCTACAAAAAAAAGACAACAGCATGCTGGTAGTAGGAGGAGTTATGTTGGCATACAGTTGTATGTTATTTATTTTTAGTCCAATGTAACTGTAGGCAAAGTATATCCCTAAGGTTAAGAGTTCCTGTGTTACTCAATGGACGAGAAAGAAAAGCATTCTAAAATATTCCTGCTATTTATCTTGTTTTTATGACTCCAATATTGTTTCTGGTACAAAGTGTGATGACAATATTTAAATTGTTCCCCCCCCCCCCCCTTTTATTCTATAAACAGTTTAAACATTTTTTTTTTTGTAAATCCCCCTCGAAACTACCCAACGAGCTGTTAAACACTTTTTTTAAGTCTCTTATTTAAGATTGCAGGCCTCCTTTTGGGCCCTCCTGCCAAGCACTACAGTACAATAGGACACAGTAGTGATGTAGCAGCCACCGGAGGACCAAGAGCTCTTCAAAGGAATGAAGATTAAACACACAGTATGCTGGAGCGGATAGTATAAAACTTTGGTGTCGGGGTCAGTTCTTTGTAAAAATAAATAAATGCACAACATACATTGTAATGATCTGCTCCAGAGAGCCTAAGTGCATACAATTGATCAATACTTGTTCCTGCTGATCAGTGCTGAGACCACCTCCTGGGAATAGCTCTGCTACAAGGATCCATGATAGGTCCTGACTGCTACACATGTGCTCATCAGGGAAGGGAACTGTGGATTTGTACTGTGTCAATACTGGTAGTAGGTTCATGTTACGGTAGGCAGCTCCAGCATGGTGCCCTGTGCCGAGAGAGCGTTAATTCCATGTTCCATTTCAGCGAAAACCATGACAGACAACAATTTGATTTAAAGCTTAAAAGTATAAAATGCATTTTCTTCGATAACTGTCCCATTTCGGTGCAGTTACACTTGTACCTGATCTAGTGAGATGTTAGATGAAGCTTGGCCCATGCAGACACTGTTCAATAAACCCTACAGCGAGTTCATATTCTGTGCTCCAACAGCATCTTATCATAGGACTGAATAGAGACTGCCTAAGTCTAAGTGGGCCCAGCCGAGAATCTTTTGCCAAGCGCTCTTGTACAGCTTGTATCCTTATAGATCAGGGACAGGTGAGTGTAAAACTGGCTGGGGTGCACTACAACATAAGTGCAGATACACAAAGATTAACTGGATATGCATTCCAACCAGTTCAGTTTGATCTTCCACCAATATCAGATAAATGCACCTATAGCTTTTATTTAATGTTTTTTCCTCCTTCTAGTCTGGGACTGAACAGAAAGAAAGTCAAGAACCAAAAAGAAAACGAAGAAAGAAGTAGCAGAAAGTTTGCGGCTTCCTTCTAAAATGTCACAGTTCATTATTCCATTCTCAGTTACCAATTTATATTTGTTCTGAAAGACTTTAACAAGATCAGTACTCAACAAACTTTTTTTTATTCAGAAAATGAAACCAAGTTAAACAAAACTGTTCCAGTATTTCACCTCATGAGTAAATCATGAACAAGATGTAACTCCACAGGAGTCAAACAGTAACAGATGCTGGCTGAGACTAGCTCCCATTTTTCAAGATGCCATTGGTTAGCTTAACTATTTCATAGATATCCAAAGCTTCACCTGCAAAAACAAGAACAAAAACATAAATCTAACTCCAAGGCATGTTAGTTTATGAATCTGTGGTGTGCAATAAATAAAAAGATACTTATAACCGCAAACATGTGGAAGTTCAAACTGGCCATAGGCTGGGAATAGTCACCGTTTGGGCCAGCTGCTTCCTTACAGCCCGGTTCTAGCCCCTTTTTTTATATTTAGAATTGTTAGAAGCACTGTCATGGCCAGTCACACCAGTGCACTGTGGTAATGCTCACTGCTCACAATGCACAACCAATACAATGCTCTTTACTTCGGACTGCAAAAATAAATGTAGTCTGCTCTATTTCTGCATGCACTGAGATGCATTGCAGCCCATTCATTTTTGAACACATGACAGTGCCATGCATTATGTTCTGGTGTAAATGGGCCCTCAGGGTTTTGATTATTGATTGTGTCCACATTTCCTATTTAATGGGTTTCAAAGAAGCTGGGAATTAGAGGAATACTCTGGCTGCATGAGCATGGCAAGGGTAGAGGAGAGCCACACAATATCTGATTGTCATCCAAGTGAGCTACAGAGCCATGACGATGGCAACACAATAATCGTTGTTTAGGTTATTTTCTAAAAGGCGTTCAGGGTGCCCACAAGTGGGAAGGCAGTGACAAAGCCTGTCCCCCCTCTATACACATTTTAAAATGATGTTTTAGGGCAAGCATTGTTGTGGCCGAAACAGGCTGCCACTACTGACCACCGAGAATGCTTATTGCCTGGTAGTCATCCTCAGGTCACCTAAACGTATTAAATGTAACATGTGAAACTAACATTCTCAGGAGCCCAGCAATAGCAACGCACCTATTTCTCTTATAACGGATGAACCTTAAAAGTGACAAACTTAGGAGTTAAATCTTAGAAATGCATTCAAGTATCTTATTTGTGTATCACTCGGCTATAGATCCTCAAATCATCTCTGAATTCATGCTGACACTGTCCTTCCTTCTGGAGGGGGGCTACTGTTGCTCCCCATGGTACCTGTGTGTGTTGTAAAGTAGTCACCACTCCAAGCTCACTCCCGTGATGGACTACAATCTCATATTTAGTTCACTAATTTGTACTGAGATAGTAGTCCATCACAGGAGTGAGCTTGGAGTGGTGACTACTTTACAACACACACAGGGACCATGGGCAACAAAAGAAGCCCCGCCTCCAGAAGGAAGGACAGTACCAGCACCAATTCAGAGATGATTTGAGGATCTACAGCCGAGTGATACACAAATAAGCTACATTTTTGTTAATAGTTAAGGTATTTGAATGTATTTTTAGGATTTAACTCCTGAGTTTAGTGTCACTTTAATTCTTGTATACAACTGTCTGGGCTGAAGTTAAAATTCACTTAGTGCAGGGAAAGCAAAGGCTTCTGTACACTAATTACACACATTCTAATATCTGTGTGTAAGGGTCAAGCAACTGTACTCAGATATTATACTTAGCATAAAGCCTAAGCTGCAGCATAAACTTTATATATAAATAACTGCATATGTTATACAAAGCTCTTGAACTTTCACATATAATGGGATTTAAGAGGATTCTTTTAAAACATACCCGGCCTGATAAATATGACCTCTGTTGTTACTCATAAAAGTGCTATTTGATATGAAATCTCAATATTCCAGCCTCTAGTTCTATGGACGATGTGGGGGCAGGGCAAGCCCTCTGTATTGGTACCCTGGCGTGAACAATCATTTGGGACTCGTTCTATGAAAATCCCCTTTAAATCAATGTTTAGGTTTGTAATAAAATAAAAAAAAGTGTTAAGTTCTTCATGTTTTGAATACTATGTTGTATAGTTTGGAATTTCTTTATTAACCAAAATGTAATTGTTAAAGCAATACATTTACACTACAAACTGTTTATTGTGGTGATGTTGTGGCCTTTAAATTGCTAAGAGATAATAAGCCAAGATGGGACATACCGGGAGGAATGCCGTATCTCTGCTCTAGACCAGTTGGGTTGGATGGGGTTGTACAATCCATGTTCACCTCCTTTCTGAGGCAGCGATCAATGTCTACCGCACTGAAAAATGCCACCGACTGAGGCAAATCCAGAATTCCCATTTTGTAAGCAAACATACACCTGCAACATAACGGAAAAGGCAAACATTTTCAAACTTTGTTTACATACCTTTTTGTAATTCTATAGAAACAGAAAACCACTTCCCGTTTACTTATCTGTAGAAGCTGAGGCTTCTTGCACACACTCAGCATTACACCCTTAATAAACATGATCCCTCATCTTCCTCCTCCCTCATGTTTTCAAAGCCTCATAGTATATGTGAATGCTAATGATCCCCAAAGACTGCACTAGACGTCATCTTAGTATAACATAATGGCTTTATATGAAAATATCACATTCAATAGAGAACGATGGCTTACATTTTTTTTCTTCCTCTTTATGGTCAGGACATATACTATGTCCTCCTGTGACCCAAAACTCAGGCTATTGCCCACTATATGCCGACAGCACAGAGCCGCGATGTCGGGATCCACCTGATTGACAGCTGGCTCTGCCTCTCAGGAATGTGATTGCTCCGTTCTTGAATAGAGCTGACATGTGACAGCTGTAGTATCACACACTGGCTCTAAATATAGGGATGTTTTTCACTCGCCCCATAATTCTCCTTTAACCCTAAGGTTTACGGTGGAACACAACTGCTTCCAGCTGGCCATGGCAGTAAGCCTTACGTCAGTGGATTTTACTATTCTGCTATAAGCTCATGGTCACTTTAGCAACCATGAACTTAAACCAGAACAGTTCCCCTGAATACCCCTGTAAAATAATAGTGGTCTAAAAAGCTGATGACCAAAACAAACAAAAACATCTGGATGCCCCCCCCCCCCCCCCCCCCACCC